AGGTAGGTGGATCTTTAACAGGTCACTATAATATATAGAAACATATCTTTGGCAGAGAATGAACACTGGCTTTGTGAGAAGAACCAGAAATCCTATTAAAGGTAAAACACACAAAAATGGATGATTGGGCAGCTAAGGGATGCCTTCTGTCTTCATCAAAAACCATGATTTAGCACAAAATACACAGGATTTCATAGCTCTCTTTCTGTAGATGCACATTATTGCACATCCTTAAAATTCAAATAGTGCTATGGTCTTTGGGTCAATACTGCCCAAATCTCTGTGCAGGGTTTCTCCTTGCTCTGGGAAGTTCAGGCTGATCTCTGAGAACTGCTTGTTATCACTCAGGAGAGGGAAAATGGCAGTGTTGTGTCCTTTAACACATTATCTTCTATAATACCATCCTAAAATGGAAAAGTTACCAAAGCAGCGATGCTAAGATACATATCCAGGAACAAACAGGGAAGCAGGGGTGCTTACGAGGAACTGAAGCATGGAATGATGGTTTGGCGTAGCATTTTTTAAGTACTTCATGTTAAAGTGTGCCACAGGAATCGGTGAGGGGACGGTGGTTATGTGCCAGTGGGCTGCTGAGCTTCGTTCATTTACTCCCTGCTTGAGTGCCATGACACCACTAGACAAAGCAGAATGGAGGGATGAACATGCAGCTCCCTATTTCTTCATTTGTGTCTCATTAGATTTCTGAGTTCCCTTTTTAGACCTGGATCCTCAGGTGCTCTAGGCTGGCATTGCCCTATTTGTTCCAGTGAAATACTATCTGAGAATTTGCTTTAATATTTTAAATACTCACTCATCTTTGGCTTACATTTGTATCTGCAAAGCAAGGCAACTCTCCTACTCACAGCAACACACAGGGCTCAGAAATGAGTTCAGCAGTGTCGTGAGAAGGGTTTTCCCAGGCTTGTGCCAAAGCATTGTGCAGAGTAGGGCCTGTGGGGCCAATGCTCAGCTGGAAAGGCCAGAGCTGACTGAGTGCCGATGTGACTCTCAGACCGGGAAGTGCTGAGTGCAAACCTTTCAACTGAAGAGTTCCAGCCCAGATTACAGAGCCAGATATCAGAAGTGAATACGTGGCAAGACTTTCAGAGACGTAAGGGATTCTGTGCTCCCTACATCTCAGCAGATGCAGGAGCGTGGGTGTTTTATTAGTCCTCCGTGGTGTTGAAAATTTTGCCTTTTATTTTTGGAAGGACAACTGGAGTGCCTGGACTGGCTAAAAGTGGTTTTGAAACTGCTTGTGCAGTTGTGCACACTGAGCCTCAGCAGTGTATGTGAGCAAGCACGGGGCAGACCCCTCCTTGCTTTCACCTCACAAAGGCTGGCAGGAATCTAACAAGTCATCTTCTGCAATTTTATATATTTCTTCCAAACTTCTTAAACTTAAAACCATCCCAGTATCTTGGCATTTGTCCTCTTGTGCAGGACGGGCTTTCCTTATCACCTTCACTTGCTATTCTGCTAAGACATTATCCAGAAATACCCACCAAACCAAACTCGACGTTGAAGCAAAGAACGATCTATGAGCTTCATCTTAGGTAGGCATGGCACCTAGCACATCAGAAGAGATAACGACTTGGATGGGAAAGGTGACCGCATTACCTCGCTAACCAGCATTGCTGGTGCTGCATTTCAAACAAAACAATCTTTGTCTACACCACTGACAAGGCCATGTTTCATCATGCGTTGACTCCTTCATATGCTACGGAGATGACATCTCCCTGTGTCAGCACAACACCGCCAGAGCCCAGCACGTTCCCATCGGATCTGGCTGGCTGAAGAACGCCTTCTGCCCGCACCTCAGTGGGCTCAGCAGGCTGCCAGCCTGCAACACCTCCATCTGCCCTTCCAAGAGCAACAACCCAACAGCAGGCCTGGTCAGGTGTGAGGCCAGCACAGAGCTGGCAGCGGGGCCATTCCCTGGCTTTTAGGTTGGTGTTTTCACACCTGTGACACTTCGGTGTTGTTTGTGCACTGAGTCACACAGGTCCCAGCCCTGCCCACTTGTCTTCCTGGGGTTTTGGACTTAATGCTTGGTAGTGTGTGCTCAGGGCTGTGAGGAACTGGAACTTGATCTGAGTTGTGACGATCTCATGGGTAGCACTTGTTTTCCACACTACCTAGAATTACAAGTCCCAGCCCTTGATTTGGGCCTCTAACAGTAAAAAGGAATAACTGAATTCTTTCCCTCAGATGACATGAACCGCATTAGGCCAACGCTGAGAGAGTGCTGAATACTTACTCCTTGATGTATATTTTCCCCCGTGGTGTTGAGTGACATCAGATGATGCTTTTAATGAGCACCAGGAATTTTCACCAGGCCAGCTCACAGAGCAGAGGGAAGCACACCCTATATGACTGATGGCTGGATCTGCTTTTCCCATCAGAGAAGTCCAGGCAGGACTTACATGCCAGCTCTATGGAGGTGCTGAGCAACCGCAACTCCCACTGAAAATCCGTTTAGCACCCCTCAGTAGCTGGCAGGCCGGGATGTGCCTGAACAAACAGCACAAGATCTCAGGGTTTTAACAGATGAGTCGTATCGAACTTGCAGGTATTCAGCACCTTTCAGCATTTGCTTCCTTAAGCACAAGCAAAATCTTTGTAGAGTTCTAGCAAAGGGCATGGAAGTAAGAAGGGCAAGTGGGCTGGCTTTGCACAACCTTTTCATTCATCATGTTTATCTTGTAGCAGTTATCCTGTTTTTGCTGGGGAAAAACAGGCAGTCCAGGCCTTCCCAAAATTCAAAATGGAATGAAGCCCACATGCTGTTTTCTGCTCTGCCACTACTAATCTCCGTAGCCCTTAGGTGTAGGTGGGACCCATGTTAGCAAACTCTAGCCATCCAACGGTGGAATACTCAGTCAGGCAAACTGTATTCCTTCCTCAGTGGCAAAGGAACCACTGGAGGGTGATTTGCGCTGTCCTAAAAGAGGTGTCTTCAGAGGGCAGACTGCCCTCTGAAGGTGCCTCTTTTTCTCTCCTGGCTCTAGAGATGCTCTTCGTGACCAGATTAGATGAGATTTGGCTTTTAAATAATTACACAGGGAAGGTGTAATAATTACCTCAGTATATCAGAAAACTGTTAAGAGAATAGCTGCAAAATTTGATGGCACCATTACCTTCTACAAGATCAACTTCCTATACGTAGGAAGTGGGGAGGAAACGTGAAAGGTATTCATAGTCTCTTTCAATTTTATTTTTGTTTTAACAATCTTTTTAACTTATTTTTTGATGACTTCTGATAAAGTATATTTTATAATGAACCTCTTGGAGGTTGCGTCACACCATCTTGCAAGGAGATGTGAAAGAAATGAAGGCTGAAATAGCTGTTTCCTCCTCCAGGGCTGTAGATCCCCCACAGTTACATTTCATCTAGCTTGAACGTGGCTAAATGATCAGAATTCTGTGTAATTAGTAAGAAAACAAAAAAATAATTGCTGGCTTTGTGCTGGTCATAGGAGAATAGCAAAGACAATTCTGCAAAGCCAAAATTACCTTCTCGCATTTTTTAACAAATATGGTCCTTCATTTTGTACTGATTGAAGGCTTTGCGAGTATGATATTTCTGATTTCTTCTTACAGCTATGTAGGTGGATACACTAGTTGGTTACAAATAGTCCTCTTGGACAGCTATATGAATATTTGCTGGAGCAACAGCAATAACTGAAGAAGGTCGTGCCCCTTGGCTCCCCATCCACCTCTTCCAGCTTTCCCTCCCTGGCTCACTGTCCATTTGCACCACTGCAGCTGTTTGCAAGGCTGTGCTAAGAATGGGAATGTCACTGGAATGACATCAATTTTTTTGTTGTTTTTGAGGTGAAGAGTGATATATTTACCTGGACAATTTGATTAAATTCCAACACAGCCCAAAAAAACCAGCTGCATCAGCACAGCTGCCATGCAAGTGGTGGCATCTAGGCAGGAATAAGAAGCAGGGCCACTTGGCAAGAAACTCCTAACTACCTTTGCTACCAGAAAAAAACAGACCTTCACCCTTAGAGGCATGTGAGCTATGCAATGCCTTTGCTGCCTAATTTCGACCCAGCATGATAGCAAGAATGTGAATTTGTAAGAAAATGTGGGTCTTGGAGAGAAAAACAGTGAAACTACAAGATTTTTTTTGCTTCTATGGAGCCTCTAACCTCAGAAAAGGAGCGAGAAATTAAAGTTAATTCCCTTATTTTCGCTTGCTTGTTTAGAAGCAGCTTCCAGTGTTGACAAGAACAGGCATGATTAAAACATTCTAGCTGGTCGCAAAGCCATCACAGAATCTGTAGGCTATGTTTGTCTGCCTCAAATGTCAAGTGTTACTCTTTTGGCACTCAACACTTCCAGGCAGCGGAAACAAAGGGAGCACAACAGGTTATTTTTAAATAGTTTAAACTTTAGTTCAAGCATTTTGTTTTCAAATTTTTATGCAGTCTAGCTCTTTCAGCGAAACACCTGGCAGCTGTCACACATATCACAGCAATTCTCTTTCAAGCTAAGGAGTGGCTTCCTCTGTATGGATCTTTTCTTTTTATTAGTGGGAACCAATGGAATATTCTGTGAAATAATTGCTACGATTATCTGTCACAAAAACACACATGGTGGCAGACCAAATAATAAGCATAGACAAACTCCATCAATCACAGTACTAGCTATGTCACTTTCATAATAGTGGTTGGCAATGAATTTTAAAAGTTTATTGGGTGAAAGTGAAGTAAGGCAAATGCCTTACTTTAATAGATTTTCATTATATTGCAATTAACATTGTGTGGCTACTGCCTGCCACAAGGTCTCCTGCATAATGACCTTAAAGGGACTAGATGTGGTTCAGAGGGAAACAGACTACTTAGCTTATTTTGGTGTAGGATATGCACATCTCTCATGCAATACCAAGTTCCAGAACCAGTGCTGGAAGCAGTTTTAGAGAATGAGTAAGAGGCTGCTTGACTTCTAGCTGGCACTTGGGACAAGCAAATTTGCTATCTAGGAGATCTTTTTCATGACTCAAAAAGAAAAAGAAAACAACAAATAAGACACACTTCTTATGTTTCATCCATTGCTGCAGCAGTATCAAGGAAAATGAAGGAAATTCAAGGTGGGAGGAGTCTTACAAACGTGAATATGAACATGATCAGATGTGTATTTTCTGGATTTATCCACCCATCATTCTTTGCTCCTCTGACATTGAAGTCCTTGAGGATCTCCTGATCAGTGAACCAACTATCATTTCTAATTTCTTCTGCACTTCCGGTCCTGCTGGACAAGTCTAGCAAAGGAAGAACCATCCTGAGAGGCTGCAGGAATAAGTGGACATCATTTCTAGAAAGCTGCTCATGGCTACCACCTCTCACCTCTTCCTTCTAATTCTTCTTCATTCCGTAAGTAGATGTGATTTCAGATCAACAAATTAAATGTGAACTAAAGGCCTTTAAACAGCTTCTCTATGATAGTAACCCATTATTCCATGTTAGAGAAACTTCACTCTTAACTTTCAGTGAGAAGGAGCAAATCTAGCAGTGGTTTAACGTCCCATTTGTCTCTGCTATACCATCTTTCCTTTGTAACATGGAGTGTTATAAATTAAAACTTTTTCTTCCTCTGCAAATGGCATTTTTTGTAAAGCCAATGGATGAGACACAGTGCCAGTTCAGACAGTGACTCACTCCAGAGCTCCATTCACTGGATCAGATAACAGAGCCAGAATGGCAGCGAGGTGTGGACGCATACCAGGCTCTGGAGATTTAAGTACTGCTTGTGCTCGCATCATGAGCAATGGACTCTGTTGGGTTGTTGTAAGCATGTTGTGGTGGCATATGTGAACTGTGGACACAGCACACATTCTCTGAGAGAATTACACTGATGGATATGCGGGAAGAAAAGCTAGAACATCGGCTGAAGCAAGAGGTTGCCACCATCTGATGCCACTGTGCAACACACACAGAAAGCCTACGGCACAGCAGATTCTATCTCAGTTATTGACCCAGTTATTATTGGTGTACAGACCACAGACAACAGTCACCAGTGCCAAGCTTCAAAATGACCTGCATCTGAGCACCAATTTCATTAAAAAAAAAAAAAAAAAAGTCTATTTATTTTATGAGATGAAGTTATAAAATTGCATGCAAATGTAAAAATGAGGGCATTTGAAAAAGTAAATCTGGTGCCAGACATTGAAAATGTTCCCAGTAGAGATGGAGGAAACAAAAGCCACCTTTCCTCAGTAAGGCATTTTGTAATAGAGCAAGTGTGTCATCATGAAAAATAGTCACTTCTGTGTGCAGAAGTGCTGAGTCAGGAGTGCTTGAAGAGATGGGCTATGTATCAGTCACCACCTTTGGTAGCTGAGATAGGTTCAGGCAGATTTTATAGGGTGCTCTCTAAATGAAACAGAACAATAAGAAACTCAGATCACTTATTCTCCAGGGCTGTGAGATCCTCATCCTCAGTTCAGTGAAAGGAGAAGTGGGTGTTACATCTATGTGGGACATCTGGAGCATGATTTGGATATCACGGCACCAATCTATCTCCATTGGACGGAAATCTGGGATAGCAGGTTGTCTGAATTAGTCACTGGCCTCTTACCTAACGACCTGAAGATTACTGTAAAGGTGTCAGGAGTATAAACCACCAGAAAAGGGATCTAAGATTGAATCAGTGCTGTGTGTGATCTGACCCTCTCCTTTTTTCTGTCTCCTTCTGGATGCACACACAGCCATCCAACCTGCATCTCCACATCAAATGCTCCAGTCCCTCCCTGTCCTGCATCCAGAAAAGCCTGGAAGTAGCAGGGCAGGATATTCAAACACAAGGGCCCAGCCCTAATTAACTACTAATTACTGCTAGTGGGACTTTCAGTACGGCTAGTTGGATAGATTGCTATTTAAATATTGGTCCATCTCCAAGGGTTCAGAAACAACAGCCACTACTTTAAGTGGCTCAGTTCACAGCTGCAATGAAAGTCTGAAGTGTCTCAGGGTAACAGGATGACAACTAACCAAACACTGTACAAACAGATGGCTTGTGTTGTTGAGACATAAATCTTCCATAATACGATGTAGGATGATTAAGAAATACCTTTTGTTCACATTCTATTTTCTTTTCAAAATGTCTTCATGAACAGAGTGAGCAATGCTTTGGGGAAGAGGCTTAATGGAGGCAGAATTCAGTATTTAAATGAGCTAGTTGCTGAAAGACAACATCTAGGTGAGCCTGGCTTTGTATTAATTTCAACAGGAGAAATAACTCTGTCCGTTCTGTCATTGTTGAATCCTATTGCTAGTAATGGAGTGAAAAATGAAATATACATAAATCAGATGGTACCTATGACTCACCAGACAAATTGCAGGCCGGACTCTTCAAGGTAAAACTTCAGGTGAAATATTTGCCACTCATATTAATTATGAGAAACTGTTGTCTGAAAGCTGGCCTTAATGCATCGCCCTCACGACTCATCACCGCTGCCTCTGAATCACTCAGATAATTCTCAGAAGTGAGGGAAAGAGGTGTTAAAAGAAGAGCAATCAAGACTTTCCTGATTTTCTCTGTGTGTGTCCACTAAACAAAAGGGAAAAAAAAAACAACACCTCACCTTAAGCACAAAATCAAGATGCAAAATGGAAATGTACAGGCAGAATGTGCCACCAACTAAATAGCAGACTCAGACCTGAGTGTTGTACCTGAGTCCCATCTCAGTACTTCAAGTTACGGAGAAGCAGAGGTGGATTTTTTTTTTTTGAATGTTAACAGTGGTTTTTGCATATAGTGTCTGCCCTGTATTTCAGCACAGGCTGAAAACTTTTTTCTCAAAGCGAAATTTAAGAGGCACTTAGGATGAAGCTTCAAACAGAATTCAGCTGGGGCTTGTAGGCTAACTGGTTCATGGGTCTTCTGCAAAAGGCTCAGCTTCACTGAGGATAGATGACCCATTTTTCTTTCAGTCAAATTGGGCAGATATTTTAAGTCTACAGGCATGGCAGAAAACCACCCAGTTTTTTTTCTTGAGGAAAGATATGCTTCAGGCATACCCAGAGCGAGGTGGTAAATATCAAATCAAATTTTGCTCTCTGTATCTCCAGACCTTTCAATAGCACTCAGTACAATTGTTCAAGGGAGCATATTATCCTTGGAGCAGTCTCTGCTGCTGACACCCGCTCCTCATCCTGCTCTGTGATACACTGTGGGATGGCTGTGTTGGAGAAGTATCGCTCCTCCAAAATCTGGCCTCTCAAGAAAGCCATCCCCTCTGTGGGAGCTGTTGGCTTTAGAGGTGCCTCAGCTCGCTTACCTGAGCAGATAAGCAAGATAGAATTTGTAGAAATGAAACAATTATTTGTGTATCACCAGCATCTGTGCAGCCATCCCAGAGCAGCGCCCCACTAAAATCGGTACCTGTACCTTTTATAGAGTGATGGAGAAATAGAGGCACGCGAGCAATGCACACAGTGTGCATTTTGATTTTAAATGATCTTATTTTGTCCGTATTGTCTTCATAGTGACATGACAACCAATTGACTAAAACTTAGCTAAATACTGACCCTCTGACATGTGATTTGAAGCTGTCTCTGGAAAAATATATGAAGGATCACCTGCTGAAATTGAAGCGTTCAGCAGCAGGGCAAAGAGAGCTACAATACATGAATACAGAGAGAACTGTCCCTGTGGTAATTTTGGCAGATGGCAGAAGGTTGCAAGCAAGTAATAGAAAATTTTAAAACTAATAAAACAAGATTAACATAGGCCACTCTATTAGTATTTCTCCTCCCAAACAGCTCAGTCCTGATTATATTTTATATCCTCGTGGAATTAAAGCACTGTACTGTACTGGCAGCAAAGGGAAATTAGATTATAATATTGTTTGTGGATGATTAACTTGCATTTCCTTTCAAACTGGATGTGTGTGCCTGACTCCTCCGGTGCAACAGATAGGCATTTCTCTTGATGGGGGTTTTGAGCAACAGAATATGGGGTCCAGTACTTCCTCTGAGGTGAAATAGACCAGAGGATCACAGACCCAGGTGAACACAGGGCTTTTATAAACTCTCACAAATTTACATGATGTCACTACATGAGAGATGTGGCCTACAAAAGAAAATGATTAGGAAAAAAAGAACAAACTCTTCCTTATTTTTCTATCAATTACCCTCCGTATTTTAACCAGACCAAAATAATTTGAGCTGCCTTCTTTCAGTGATAACACAAGAAGGTTTTGTTGTACAATACCCCTCCATTGCTGATGTTGGGATTCCTCTGTTATAGACTGAGGGACAGAGTGGTTCTGAATGTGAAGCCAATTTCAGGATTATACATTCCTGGAAAGAGCTCTTCTGTGCAAGGCTTTCTCCAGCTATCAGAGGTCTGCACAGATTAACTGAAGGGCAGAACTTAGGGCCAGCTTTTCAAGTTTGGTTGCCTAAAACTAGGCAGCAAGACGGGCTTACATCACTGTATTGAGCATTTGCATTTGTAGAAGAGTCTGATACTGAGGGCTCCTAGAAACCAAAGGAACTGCTAAGAATGACTCAATACGTATCTGGAAGTCAGATTTTTGAGAGACTGAAGGCCTCTATCCCCTCCAGGTGTACCAGTCCAGCAGCTAGGTGCCACAGGTGTTTATAAAACAGACACACAGTTCTCCACACCTGCATGCCACTGGTAGCATCCTCCAGGTATAATGAACACAAAGCACACATCTGAGTCCTGAAACGTCAAGCTGTTCAAGGAATTTCTTAAGTCTAATCCACAACATGTGCACTTTTCTCTCTATTCCACTCTGCCTGTTTTCTCAGACTGAAGACAAGAAGACGATTTAAGATTCAGTAAAAGCTAGCTTCACCTCCCTCTGTTACCTGTCACACACACCATCTCCAAACTTCCTTGTTTTTGTTTTGGACTCTAAGATCTCAGTCTCCTGTGCACCGAATGGGCTGCTTGTTAATGCCTGTGTCATCCTCCCTAACACATGACTCCCCACAGAGGCAAGGCAGTGCGTGGATCTGTTCCCACCCCGTCTTCCAATCTTTCACTCCCGTCTGTCACTGCAGCAGCTCAGATTTGCTTCAAAACATCCCCCTAACATCAAACGCTGAGCAGAGACACCTGGGTTAGGAGCAGAGTCACCTCCGTCTCAGCTGATGGATGTGAAGAGGGTGCCAAGTGCGCAGCGGCTGTTCTTAGCGAGATGCCTCTCACTGGCAATACCTCTCTTTCTCCATTAGCTGCAGGAGCAGCCCACAGTGACTATGCCCCTAACTTTTCACTCCCTGGAGTGGGAAGTGTCTCTGTAAGGCTGAGGTTTCTATATCTTTCACCCTGAATCACCTCATGCTGCCCCTCCTCAGACCCAATAAGCCAACCACCTGCGGGCTGCACCCTCTGCTCCTCTGTCCCAAGCCCTCCTGTGCTATAGGGGAACAGTCAGCAATGTCATCTCTCACAGCAAAGTGCACTTAAATAAAGAAATTTGTGAGGATCTGGCTTCTTGCTGTTGAAAAACATGGAAAACCCTATTAGGGCATTCTGTTGAAATAGCCTGGAAATAAAGTATATGTTGCTATTAGGATAGTCCTGCAGATTTATATTACTATTCTTATTATTATCATCATAAAATGTCATTAGCATTTTTATTTCCAGTAGTTTTGTTATTTGGCTTTCAGGGGCTTATCACACAAAAACGAAAAGGGCAGGGACCTGATACTCTGCACGACAGATAAAGGCACATAACCTGTCTGAACAGCCACCTCACTGCACTTGGGGAAGCAGATCATTTCGATGCAAATAGAGTCTGAGACCAAAATGTCTTTCTCCCTCACCTCCTTTCTATTTCATGATTAAATAAATCATAAAGCTGTCACCAGAGACTCACAGAAAGAGGTCTCAAATGGTAGAAATGAGAGCTTTCTACACTGGTCTATTTTAATTTCAAAAGGTATTTTGAATTAAAAAAGAAAGAGAAAGGAAAAAAAAGAGCATAATGCTGTTTGCATGCCTGATTCCCCGGGAGTACAAACAAGCTCTGTGTCCTCTTGTAATAATACAACAAATTTTCAAAACTAAACACAAATAAATGAAAATTAAACGATGCTCCGTAAATTTAATTGAGATTCACAGTGTCCGATGCTTTTCAAATTCAAATTACCACCAGACAGAGTATCTTTTTACATAACTTATGCAGATAAAGCATAGATGATAGATTATTTTTCCCCTCCTTTTTTTTTTTTTCTTTCTTTTTAGAAGAGATGGACTTCAGTCACAGTGCCAGAATCTTTGCATGTAGAATCTGAACAGAAATCTAACATTTCTCGTAGAGGCACCGTACCATACTGTTATAGTGTACAGTGCTTAAAGTGAATTACAGAAAATGAGCATGGAAAACCATCATTTTTGTATTGAATAATAGACCAAAACTGCATTTTTCTGCCATTAGAATGAACACTCAAAGCTAACTACTATTGCTTTGTGTTAGATGTCTTTCATCTTCAGTAAATAAGATTGAATGCATGAGTGGCAACTCAGAATTCTCTGCAGATCAGCCGTATCACTTCAGAAATAGAATATAAATACACAGCTTACCTAAGGAGGGTGGAATTTGGAGCTGGAAAAACTAAACCATGGACACTGTCTCTGAGAGAGGAGTTACTCCCGAAGAAGTTATGGAATAGTTAAGGTTCAGTTTATATTCATTGTATTCAGGACAACTTCACTGCCAGGTGAAGTTCCTAGTCCTTCGTCTTGTAGGTATTTCATCTCTAATTACTGCAATCTAAGGGAAAAAGGCTTTTCCTACAGAAAGAAAAAAAAAAAGAAGTACTAATCATGCTGTGCCTCAATATATAACGGACTCCTTAGTTTAGATCTTCTTGGGAAAAAAAAAAAAAAAAGAAAAAGAAAAAGAAAAAGGAAGAGGAGTCAGAATATTCATAGTCTGCCCTGGAACTCGTGTTTTGGAATCAGCTCCTCTATTTATGATATAAATCACAGAACGATAGAATGATAGAATCATAGGATGGTCTGGGTTGAAAAGGACCTCAAAGAGCATCAAGTTTTAACCTCCCTGCCGTAGGCAAGATCACCAACCGCTAAACCAGGCTGCCCAGAGCCGCATCCAGCCTTGACATGTTGGCTGAAAACCTGGGAGTACAAATTCTATCCCTTAAGCTCCTATCCAAGGTATCAGTTATTAAAGCACAGATATTTAAAAGCACACACACAGCCATAGGTGTCTGTGCAGCAGGGCAGCAGTCCCATCTAGTGTGTCTGGTGAGACTGAGTGGTGCTGTTGCCTGCTGCCATGCAGCAGTGCAGGCCCAAGTCTTCCCTTCCTTTGAGTGAGGCCTCCTGTGTGCCTAGGAACATGGGAGAGGTGGCTTTGGATGCCTTTTGGTAGAAAAAAAGAACTGACAAGGAGTCCCCCCCTGCAACGTATACTGTGTGGGCTGTGGCATGAGGTCCCCTCAACAGAGTTCCAAGGGGACAGCCTGGGCTCTGCTGCCTGGAGGGGACAGATTGCTCACAGTGCGAGTACCAGCAGCAGAATTATTCAGCTTTTTCTCTTTCCTGATGTTTTACTTCCCCATTTATTAGATTTAATGAGCTTGGCTCTGCACATCTCCTGTCAAACTTCAGGGTGTCCATCCTGCTGGTCAACTGAACAGCAATTGAAATACAAGCCCACAAACCTGAGGACGTACATTTCTCTTTCCGTTGTGAACCAGGGAGATGCAATGTTCAACCATGCAGGAGTAAGCTGAAGGGTGGCATTTGGAAGGTGCGAGGAAGAAATGTTTTAGGCAGTTTGAATTATGAAGTAGCATGATGTTTTCAGATGGGGGAAAAAAAGGGAAAACTTCCTTTAAGTCCATAGAGGAACATCACCAGAGACACTATTTGAACTGTTAGTTAATGGTAAAATGAAATATTTCCTACCCATTAAAGAACAAATGTACTGAATCAGATTCCAAAGATGGTGTAGTATGATAAGAAATGCCAAAAGTGATATGCAGAATGCTAACTCCTGTGAGAAAATAAGAAGAATGCTTCACCAGTGTTGTCATAACACGAACTTGTCTTTACCACTAAGCATTTTTCTTTAACACTCTTTAATTGGAGTAAGGGTGTAAAAACAGTGGCATAGGAAACATCAACCAGGGCAGTAAATAAGTAAATAATACTTATTCAGTAATACAGTTTGAGAGTTGGTTGTGCAAGTCACATGCAGAAAGGAAACAAAGTGAATGTTCACTAGAAAATGACGACTGACATGGGACAGTGGCCATTTTGCTTGTGATGCACAATCCAGCTCAGATTCATGACTCTGGCCATGGTATCACCCTGCTACCAGCTTAGCTTGCTCACTTCAGTCTTTCTATTCCTCAGAATACTCTGCACCCTCCTGCTCCCTCTGCTTTCCCATTCCTTCCCCTGCCTCCAGCCCAGGGACAATCCCCTCTTCTGTTCTTCCACTGTTCCCAGAACCACGCACTATTCTTCTCAGCATTCTTCTCCTCCCCAAATGTCAGTGTCACTCACAATCCTAGAAAATATCAAGGGACAGCACCCACAAATCTGCACAGCCACAGGCACTGGCAACTTTCCAACCTGCCTGTTTTCACACCCTGTACTTGGCCATGAGTGGTGCTGGGTACTGCACTGCTGCTGCACGTGACCGAAAGCCACAGCAGCCCTTTTCCAGAAGGCTGGCCACACCAAGCACTGGTTTTGTTCTTTTACTTCCAGCTGGTAAATCTGGACCCACAGAAGCATACCAGAGTCAGCCAACCCTCTGGGTAATTATCCAGTAAAGACTTCACCTGCCTCTGCTGAAGCTTGTGATCCTGTTCATTTGTGGAACTGATAATAAGAAACAGCGCCAGCAAATTTTGCCGGATCATTTGGAATATACTTAAGAAGATAAGGTCATTGTGATTTGATAATTTTTAAATGTATATCTTTTATATATCAAAACCTGGCTTTGAAAAATAGCTGGAATTTGTAGGTCAGTTTTTGCTCTTGCTACAACCAAAGTCACTGACAATACTTCCACCAAATTCAATTGTCACCACAGAAAGCTTTCAGCCAACAGAGTTCTCCTAACTTTTTGTTCACCTCATGATGGTTAATTATCTTAGGGCTGTTCATGTATGCTGAATGGCCAACTCTAACATCTAATGAAACAGCACTGAAGTATGTACTGCCCGCTTGTGCTTTTCTGCATGCACACACATACTCTCCTATCATCACATACGTGCAGGTAATGTCTCTGTTAAACCATACAGCTTGAGTCTGACTTCTGCAAACTGGGACGGTCTGATTTAGCGTGCTGCTGATGGGCTGGTCATCTCACTAGACCACGAGCATGTGTGATATGCAAATGCTTCCCATGCAGCCCCCTCAGCTCTGGTTCTTGAGTCTTTGACTCATTTGAAGTTTACACACAAATGCAGAAGAAATAATGTTCAAATTCAGGTTATCCCCACTCTAATATTGTTCTTGTAAGGGAAACAACCTCTCATAGCTCAACACATTAATCTCTGTTATCTCATCATGCTGCTGGCAGTCCAACACAGAACTGGAATATATTACCATCATGCTTTCCTTTAATCAAGTCACAAGAACTCACAGGGGAAACCCCCTGCAACAGACCTGAACACAGTAAATCATACAGCCTACTGAGAGCCAATCAAGCACACAAAAAGACACTGAGTGTTTGCATGGCTTCGTGTTTGCAGGGAAAAGCTGTACACCCCACCTGCAGCCACCAAGCTGCAAAAGGCAAAGCCAAGCCACAGCTGCTTAGCCACTGGTGTACACAAGATGTACATAGGCTTCCAACAGGTGACAACAATAATCCTGTGCGTGAGATTTGTCAGCTACTAACACATGCAAGCACCTATGGGCAGAGGCATCATGGCCCTTCTGGCAGCACGTGCATAAGCCACTCCGATTAGGTCCATTGGCAGCTAAGCACAAACAACTGCTGACATGCTGCTCTGCAGCTGACAAACAGCCTGTCATATCTTCCAATCATCTGTAAATCCAGGGGATTGGCCAAAATGACCATTTGGGCCATTTCCATATTTCCCTGATTATTCTTAACATGCAGAAGAAAATGAGGTCAGGTTTTCCTTAGCAGCTGCCGCTCCCGCCTTGCGGCGCAGCACAACCCTCTGGGCTGACCTCGGTGGCACTGACCTTGGATGTCTCCGCAGTGGCATTACTTTCCTTACCACTCCCTGGTGCGCTCTCCTCCACTGCTGGCACTTCAGAGGCTTCTGCCTTCTTTGCACTGGTTTCCGGAGAAACTTTCCCCAGCCCACTCTCTGGGGCTGAGCTTGGGCTGCTTGCTGGCCGTGGCTGAGCCTTATACCAGCTAGGGTAAAACAAGGGATCGATGGTTTCTGCCGCAGGTGGCACTTGACTGTCAGACTCTGCAGTCTGTTGAGAACCACTTGGTGTCACAACCTCATCCTTAAGCAGGACAGATAAAAAGAAGAAGCAGAGTGCACCATGTTACCTTCCTGCCGTAGCCAAGGTTTCTCTGCAAGCCCTGTTTGTTATACCTTTCTGCAAGGAAAACATTTGCCCTAATATAGGGTCTCGAAGAATTGCAATCAAATGAAGCAAAAGCAACCAGAGTTTGAATAACACAGATATGGCAAAGAATGTAAGTTACCAAAAGCTAAAATAGAAGGGCTAAATCAGCTTGGAAGGGCAAAGTGGTTCCCTAATCTATGCTTGAGCCTCATTTTAAATCCATTTCTATGCCAGGAATAAATTTCTGGAAGTGAACTGAGGCATGTGGCGACAACAATGGGCACAAGAGGAGAAGGCACCATATCTCAAATACACTGTCCAGTGACTGTCCAGTACAGGGATACAGCTGCCTGGCAAATTACAGGTTCTTAATTAATTACTACATTTCATCCCATACACAGATAAAAACCCAATCCGATTCTGAAAACATAAGATATCCTGTCTAAGAGCCCCATTGGCTGGCACCAGCCACAAAGAGCAGGTGTAGGTGCTGGGTTTTGGATGGAGCAAAGCATTTGGCAGCAAACAGTCAGATAAAGAGGATATAAAGACACTGGAGAGAAATACTTTCCCACTGCTATCATGTCAATACAATAGCCAACCTCATTTGTACTGTGCTGGGAAGAGGAGCAGCTAGAGGAGCTGCACTGTTCTGCTTGCACCAAGCTCTCAGGGCTCACTGAGAGTGCTATAACTACTGCTCTTCTGCTGTGCCTTTCTCACACCAGAAGGCAAAAGCTGAGATACACATATCCCGCGCACTGCAGTGCCACATGCCATGTCAGACTCCATGTCTGACCAAGTCATAATGGAATTTACAATTGCTACAGCAGCATGCCATACCTTTTCCATTTTAGCCTTAGAAGTGAGGGATTTGATATTAGTGGGCAGACTTGCTTACACCTACTTCTTGTTTGCATATCAGTTATGCCACACAAGTTTAATGATATCAGCACAAATCCTCAGAAGACAAACTGCAGTTAAATCAATAAAACCTGATTTAAGAGCACCTTCACATAACTGGTGCAAATTCATGTGTGCTTTTAAATCAAAGTAAGAATGAATCTACAGCAATTTTTTTTCCCCCTCTGTTTTTTTTGTGGGAAGCTTGCTATAGTCAACAATTCATCACTCTCTTGTTTTCACATTGACCTCTTCAAATATCATCAAAGCAGCCTTTAACCACTCAGCAGCTTCACCGGAAAAACTGCATACGAGCAGAACTTGCTAAACTAATTGTATCTGTGGGCAGATAACGTGGCATACAAAATATAAATATTTTTAAGTAGCCTTTTAGAATATGCAGCAATTATGGTCTCATTCTAATAGCATTCCTTAAGGAAAAGCGTTGGCCTGAATTATTTACACCCTGAATCTGTTTGTTGCCAGGCTGTATCTCTGCTAGGTTAAAGGCAGCTTCCTCTTTGGTTTGGTCTATGATACTCCTGCATCCTCCTAGATGATAGCCTGAGGACAACCAGAGCAGAAAAGAAGGTAAACGTCATTCCCAGTAAAGGGATTAGAAGCATGATTTGAAAGCCAATGGTGGAAAGCTCACTGAATCCACAGGGAATGCCAAATTCTCTTAGCATAAATATTTTATCAACTGTTTCATTTATAACAGTTAGTCTGAGTTAAAACACAGGAGGCAGCAAGCAGAACATCCATTATAATGCGTTTAACTCCCAAATTGAATCTCTTTTATTTATATATTATGTAACCCACATATATTCTGGTTTATATAGCAAGGTAATTTTTTGCCCATCACATGATATACATGCAGGCTGAGAGGACAGGGTACAGCTGCGTGTATGTGTGAAGGGCAATAAGCAGCCTTGCTCTTCAGTGCAGGGAGGACTCCCTGGTGCTGCAGGAGCGGGGTTCTGGCTCTGCTAGGCCGCTCAGCAGAGCTGGCAGGGCAGCAGGGCCATGGGGGCAGTTACCTGGCCAGCCGGGGTAGCAGGCAGTGGCACTGGGACAGGCTCTGCTGGGGGCTCACCCGCTGCGCTCTGCGGTTCAGGGTCCTGCTGAGGTGGCTGTGCTGCTCTCTCAGCTCCTTCCTCTTCCAGCTGCTCTTCTTCCTCCCCCTCCTCTCCTGATGACTCTGTGTGGACTTCATCCAGATCTTCCCCTTCTACTGTCTCCTCCTCTTCCTCTTCTGCCTCTTCCTCTAATGAGACAAATGTAGAAGGAGAAGGCTGAGCAACACATGAAGATATGCAATCGAGGAACCATAGAATGACTTGGCTTAGAAAGGGCCTTAAAAACCATTCAGTTCCAATTCCCTCGCCATGGACAGGGCTGCCAACCAACTAGTTCAGAATGCCCAGGGCCCCATCCAATTTGGCCTTCAGTGTCTTGACGATGGCTACCCTGTGTAATGATAAAGCTATCTACAGCTGCACAGCAAAGCTGCTGCTCATCCACCTCCCTGGCAGAAGTGAGGAGCCCGTATGGGGCACTGCTGCAGAGCCTTGCAGCTGGAAGCACACTCCACACACGTTTTGAAGTCTTAAACCCGGAGCAACCCATTGCTTTGTAAACTGTGGAGGTTTAGGGTACCAACTTCCCTAAGACCAGGCTGTTGAACTTTGTCAAATCATGATTTTACATTCTACGACACAGCCTACTGTCAGCGTTTGTGGTTGGGCTCCTTTCCAGAGGCAGTTCTCTAACAATGTGTTTGGTTTTGCATAATCATGTTATTCATCCTCACAAACATAGGGTGCTGCTCAGAAACATCCCGGTACTTCAGAGTATAAATAATCTGAGATAGATGCATTAGCCCACAAACTGGCTATGCATTTTGCACAGCTTGTAGTTCTGCCTGAACCTGTAGAAGGAATGTAGATCTGCATCAAATAACACTCTTGTACTGCAGAAATACAACTGCAAATAAACACTCCTGAATCTCTCCTTCCACATCCTTTGCATGCAGATGACCTGATTGACTGCAGCAGGACTGAAGTCCTGATTCCCAAGGCCCTTACTAATGCCTTGTCCCCAAGAGGTGGGTGTCACATTCTCTATCACATGGCAGAGAGCACGAGGTCATGATCTTGGCAGACACGCATGGATGGCAGGGACATAGCAGCTGTGGCTGATCACAGTGACAAACAGGGCATGAGGTTGTTCTCAGGGGTTGTCCCTCACAGCATAAATCCCTGGAGGTTCATGGCTCTGTGAGATGACACCTGCTGTGCTGCTCACTGGTGCCATGGCTGCTGTCCCGCTATGCTATGTCTCCTGTGCCAAGTAAAGTTAGTTCATGGATCTCATCCCATCCCATACAGGTGCTCTTATTGGGACCAGCCACACACACTGAAGTCAGTGTAAGTTGTGGCGTGGGAGCAAGCGATGGGTGCCACTTCAGTGAGTCTCAGGAATCTGCACAGGATTTAACTGGGCTAGCAGAGGTAAATGTAAATGTATTAACAGAACCCAGCACTAACCACAAAATTAGAGCTAACCAGATGATAATTAGTAGAAGAGATGAGGCCTTTTAATAGGAGAGGTGTGCTTTTTTGAAGCATTTGTGTCCATTAATTTCTTGTGGCTTACTCTGTAAGTTAAAGCATAGGTGAGCATAGATTTCAGGCTACCCCGATAAATGCAGAATTGCAACTTTGCACTGGCTCATAGACATATGATGTATGTTTAGTCATGATGTCACAACAAATCATGCAACATGTTAAATCTATGAAATATTATGACAATCTTTGCTTCCTTCTATAACTGCAATCCTGAATTTCAATCACATTTCTCTATTATTACAAATTACAAAGGTACATCTTTTCTAATTTCTTTTAGTAGTAAACATTCTATTTCTTTAATGACTTTTGATAGAAGATAAGCCATAAAATAATGGCATCCTTTGGGTGGGAAAAAGTACTTTATAGACTGAGAAAAGTGCTTAATTTTTTTATTCCTTCACATGAGGATTCAGTAAAGATCATGCTCTTAGAGAAGTCTTGAGGCTACATAAAAAATAAAATTCATGGTGCAAACAGATTATGTGATTTTTAACCATGAGGCTTTATTTTTTTATTACAATGGATACAAAATGGTCCAGTTTCACCTTGGGATGGAAAGAAATATCTGATTCAAGTTTTCTTAATCTGTATCATCACGTAGATTACATACAACTGCAATTTAAGAAAACGATTTAGGTGAAATAAATGACATACCTCTGTCAAAATCAATTTCTCTTATTATCTTTTCTTCTCTACTGAGGTTCACTGTGAATTGGTTCATATTTTCATACCCATCTTCTATTTTTTCCACCTGAAATCCTTTAGATGCTTCAGTAATTCTAAAACAGAGGGATTGGTTATTTGCATTTGGATTTGCAGATAAATTTGCAATCTGTAATTTATTATAAAAAATCAAGTGTCTCAAGTTTGAATACTTACTTCTGGAGCAGTGTTTTTGCATTCTGTGGAAATAAAAAGGAAACAACTGACTTATTAAACAGTTCAATTTTTTGAGATATACAATGAGATCTAATTTTTACACTAGCTGCTTCTGAACGCATTAATATGGATCTCAAAAATTAGTCATGAAGTCTGTGAATGAGATGAGACTTGAAACTTGAGTAATCTCCTCACTTCATTGAAGACTTTAATTAAAATCTGACAACAAATACACAAAATATTTACAAAAATGAAATAGGAAAATTTTTGCTCTTTTTTTTTTTTTGGTGTGTGCATTTGAGAACTTTATTTGCCTTGAAAGAATACTCTGCTCTTCAACAGCAATTATTTGTTAAAATAAGTTTTTTGTTCTTGCTTTCCTTTTGGAAAAGAATTTTTCAGCCTTTAATACAGAGGAACTGTAACACTGCACAACAGAAATTCTACACCAATGAATCCAGGGAACAGGCTACCAATGGTTTCCTATTCGTCTGTTCTGAAGTCGTATTATAAACATCTAGAAGTTTTGAAGTAAAGGCATAAAAACTGGACTTAGGGTATCTACATGTAATCCTGGAAAGCTCATCACTGTTTCTGTGCAACTGAAATCTCTAAATCACAGAAATCTCTCTTGGTATTTGAGGGGTGAGAAAATAAAAACATATAGAAAAATATAAAATTCCCCTGGGAACACAAAGCCTTTACACTATATAGGATAGTATACTTTGGGGCAAATGGCAAATACTCGCCCTTGATTTGTATGCTATTTGTGAGAGGCCTAGTCTACACTGATGTAAGTTTTAAAGTGAGTTTGTATGAGATTTCATTCAAAGTTGACCAAATTCTGGATGTGCCTAAAATTCAGAAATGCTTACATAGTATTTCAGTAAGCATCATTCTTCTTCTGCCTCTGCTTATAGACTCTGTACCTGCAAAAACACAGCCATTTCTGGTTCTTCCATGAACTGGATTCCTGACTCCACCAGCTTAGACACAGCTTCCAAATGATCAGCATACTTCTTCATCAGGGAGCGGACATGTTCCAGTTTCTCCTCTTGGGTTCTAGTGATTATTTGTGTCATCTCATTTTTTCTTTCTTCCAGTACAGAATAGAGATAATCAAATTTTTCACACAGCTGCTCCTTCTGTCGTCTGCTGCATTCCTGTGAATCATTTGGTTTATGTTAAACATGTTATGTTCTTAAAAGAGTTTCTATTTTTACAGTTACTTGGAAGCATTTCCATCAAAGAAATTCCTCTTTTTGAGCAGTGCAAAGGATTCTGAATGACCCCAGAGACTTTCATAATTTTCAAAGTTCAAGCTATTGGAACAAAAGTTATAAAACTGTTCTCAAACTCTGGATTTCAAACCACTGAAAGCCCCCAAACAGGTTATTGTATAACTTGTCAGCCTGCTAAAGAACTGTGAAAGGTATTTATGATGTCTGTAGTGATACTTCAAAGCCTGCAGGAAAAGTAAAAAAAATCACCATAGTAGCAGCTGTGTTCATTTGCACGAACAGAATGCTTTTTTTTTTTTAAAGGAAATATCATCCATCTCAAAGCAGTTCTGGAAAATTTTCTTTTTCTACCTGGAACTTTCTTGCTTAGGCCTGATTTTTACATCAGCCCTTTCAGACACTGTTTTGACAGCAGGTGTCCATTATATCCCATTTACTGTGCGCTGAATGAGGGAGAGGTAGTGCGAAAAATGCTGTGTGACAAAAGCACAAAGACAAGGAGGAGGAATCAGGTTCCAACCCTACCTTCAGGCATTGATTTTCACATCATTTTCTGAGACACTTTTCCTGTCCTTCTACTCAGACAACACACTACATTTCAGTTAGAAAGGGTTTGATGACTGCTTCACTGGGCGCTCTCTAACAAGAACACACTGCACTTGCACGGGAGGATTTATGTGGAGGAAAGCAGGGACAGGTTATCTGTAATGTCTGAGGTCTACCAACTACTTGATTCATCTCTGAGCCCCAGGGCACACAGACGGGCATGTCCTTATTGTGGTTATACCTGGTTGTGGATGGGGGTGGTTACTTTAATCTCTTTCCTAGGAACTGAGGCTGAATCAATTCCTCATCTTCATCCCTGGAGGCATAAAGCTGAGATCCTGGCAGCACAGGGTTATTAACATCCCCGCAGTACTTTTGGAGTTGGTAAGACTGATTATTTGCAGCACTTGGCCACAGAGAGCCCCGCTTTTTTCTTAACTTTCAACCAGAACTCTTTCCTAAGAGCTGGCAACAATCTGCTCTGTATTGTTCAAAGGAGAAGGCCTTCTGAAGATGGACGGGAGGTCAAACACCACAGTCTACGCTGCAGGGTAAGGAACAAATACAGATGTTGTTGCATTGCCCCTAATATCCACTTCTGATTCCATGAGGAAGACTTGGCTAAACAGTTAAAACTCATGCGGTTGTCCTGCCCAAGTCCTGCCCTTGTGGAAGTCCTTGGCACATCCAAGAAATTTCTCTGACTGATGAATTGTAGAGTGGGGATAAGGAAGCCGGGTGTTGTTCTATTGTTCAGACCTCCTCTCCTCTTTCACTACTTTTCTCTCTTTCTCCCACTATTTCCTGCATTTCCTCTTGCTCCAGACTCTGTTTCAGTCTACAATGACCTCCCCTGAAATGTCACTCAGATCACTTGTAAAACAACCTTAATTTAAGGACAGGTGTGTACTGTCTTTGACATTTGATACAGGACAAGTGCCTGGGGAAGAAGAGAGAGTGCTCTGAGAAGTCCTTCCCTATTTCTAAGCTTTAATACGTATTATTTTCTGCCAGCAAACATTACAGAGTTGTGAACCTTGTATGTTAGAATGCAAAGCTAACAGCAAATGCTGAAATATTTCTGCTTTTCTCTTTCTGTATAAAATATCTCCATATTAAGTTTCTGTTTGACGGAATTATCCTAATCAGATTCTGAGTAACCAAAAAGGTTAATAAAGACATGACTTCCCATTCTAAAAAAATCTTAGCCTTTTTGCTTTTTAAAGCACAGCTACAGGAGAAAGGAAGGAGTCCTTGTCACCGAGCACAAACAGTGCAGAGTTCTGGGAGCACGAGCACAACACTGCTTGTTCTGAACTATCTGTATTGACTTGTCACTGCTATTAACATTGAAAAGAAACAATGTAATTTTTCCTTTTTTATCTGACTCTTATTTTTTACAGAGCTAAGCACTATTTAATTCTTTGTTGTCATTTTACACTATTTTTCTTATGCTTTTTTTTTTTCTTCAGTATAATATGTGAACTTGGTCTACTTTTCCATCAATTAAAAGCTACACAATTATTAACCAGATACTTTTTAAAAAATTGTTTTGCTTTTTTTTTTTTTTTAGGTTTGGATAGGAGTAATAGCTAAACAGAACAGTAGGCTATTGCTTTTTCCAGCTGAAAGAAAAATGATCATGTATTTTCTGCTGGAGCAGACATTGTTCTCTGCAAAGCTTTAAGTAAAGGAAGAGACAATCCTGGATTATGAGTGCTACTTCAATGTGTGCGCATTTCTCAGCTCCAGCTGTAGCTTTTCAACTTCAAGGACAAACTGATGTCAATTCAGACAAAGCTGTTGCGTGGTAGGAAATGTGATTTGCTTGAAATATAACATGGAAGTGCCAAGGTAAGCTCTAAGATCTATTTTCTTCCATCTCTGACTTTAAAGGTGAAAAGCCTTTTAGAAAATCTGAAGGTAAAATGGCTGCACTTGCTTTGGGCTTCGAGTTTAAAGGTTAGGCTTTAAGCTGAGTGGATAATTCTGAAGAATCTAGTTTCAAAACTGTTGTATTTTTTAAAATATTTTTAGCACAGTGTTTTCTCCATACTTCAGATGATGATTGAAGTTTTGTTTCTGTATCAGCTAGTTCAACTGAAACGAGTATAAGCTCTTGCTTTTGAATCATTCAAATTTCTGCAGTTAACCCACTTGAAAGGCTTGTTTCTGTCTGCAAAGTCCTGATAGCAGCCAATTTCATCCTTACAGTGTGAAAGCTTCCTGACTACAAAGTTCTGACTCCGCTGCTAACACTCTCTCATTTATTTGGGCTAATGGTTTTATGTTCTTTGAACTAAGCTTGGACACTTCCTCTTCTTTTCGTGCTCTGAGGAAACAGGAGCCTACGGCAATTGTGTACATAGATTATAGGATCAATTTTTCTTATCATTTAGAATCTATACATCTTGGATTAACTTCTATTTCACTGTAGTTTCCATTTCTGCTCCAGCTCTGATGTGTCAATAGAATTCTAATTGGACTGAAAGGGATACAACTCTTTCACCAGACGCTTCACAAACTCTGATCATTAAATCAATTCATATGAGCTGCTTTCAGCCTATTACTCTGTGATGCTCAAATTGGTCAGAACTGAAATTTACATTTGCTTCGTTGGTACAGACATCTTGGAAGAAATTAAGGCCACTTTTGTTACTGAGTGACACAAAACTAAGTCCAGCTCTGTCAGAGGAAGACCTTTACCAGAAAATACAAATTCACAGTAAGACCCCAAGCTCATTCCATCCATGAGCAACACAAGATTCCTTAAAGGACTGCACACATACATTAAAAAACTACTACACTAGAAACAAAATAGCCAAATAGAGAGTTCACTAAACCATAGCTGGGAGCTATGCTGTGGCTACCCATGTGTCTGAGAATGAGGTTCTTCTCAGAATCAGTGAAGTCTTAGACTAATATTGTTCTTCTACAGCTTTAGCATCTGAACTGAGAGCTCATAGTGTTTTTTGGATGCGTTTTTTACTTGGACTGTAATCCATGCAACTAAGAATGCTGAGCAAGACATGCTGATGTGGATTACTTTTACTCTTTGTCTTCAGTCACAGGGTCAGTGCCAGGGGCAGGCTGCTGAGCAAGACACATCCTTTAGATGAGGCACTACAAGTGGTACTACATAAAGCCATAGGTTTTTCAAAATGATATGGGAACCCATCTGGGTAAAGTGAGTAAAAGTAGAGTGATCATTACCACCAGTTTAAAAGCTGCAAATCCATGCTAACATAACTGCATGAGAAGGAATGATACTTACCTCAACTGTCTTGCAGGTCTCCTCCAGCTGCGTGACTATCCCTTGCACTCTGTCATTGCTGCCCACCAAGACTGCAATGCCGTCACTCAGCTCGGACTTGGTAGTGAGAAGAGAGCAGGAAAGAGGGTGTTAGACAGTCTGGGGGCTCTGGAAGCCAGCCATCCACCATCCCATTTTGGAGTGGCCCATGTAAGATAGGGAGCAGGGGATGAATGAGCCATACTAAGGTGTTAGCTGCACTTTTCACCAGAACCGTGGAAAAGCATTCTGATGTTTGTTTCCTCTCCTACACCAATCAAAACACTGACATTTTGAAAGTGGAGAAGCTGTGATTTGGAGAGGAGGAAGCACTTTCTTCTAGGAGGTTCTTCTAGATGCTTTTATCTACAGCACTATGCTTCAAGAACTCTCAAACATTCCATTTGGGCTTGTTGACAGAGAAAAATTTCTTTCTTTTTTGTTTTATTTGATTTTCTGGATCCAGCCACACCACTGTGGTATTTCCCTAAGGACTGTAGGTCTCAGGCCTGGAGAAAAGGCGGTCCATAGACCTGTAGGGACCACGGGTACCATGGAGGTTCTGCCATGAGGGCAGTGGAGCTGGCAGCTGTGCTCAGAAAGTAAGGGAGAAAAGGGGGAGAAAAGGGAGACAGATGGCACAAGGCATACAGTGGAACCCTCTCACGGAGACCAGACCAGTGGGAAGGTGGAGGGCTCTGCGGTGTGATGGAAAGGAAAAATGTGGAGGGAGGAAGGAGCTGGAAATGGTGAGGCAGAGACTTCTGTGTGGAGGAAGAAGGAAAGTACCTGCCACAAGTGACAGAAGGAAATTACCTAAGTGTGGAGATGGGGATGATTCTGAGATGTCTTTAGAGGAGGAAGCTACTCTCTAGAGAACTTACTGAGAGTTCAGAGGAGGACAAGGAGCCCTTGGCATACTGATGTAGTAATCTAGCCGCAAAGACAACAATGTCTGTGGCCTCTGCGGCTTTGTAAAGGGTCCTTTGAAGCATATGTCCCTCAGCCTCTGGATTACACATTCAGCCTTGAGCATGAGAGCCACATTCCACAGGCACAGTGGGAAAGAAACCACTGCTTGCAAATTTCTATGGAAAGAGGGCATGGATTCTATCCAAGAAAATTCTTCCCTTCTCTCTCCTTTTTTGATCAAAAACAATTCTTGTAACTACTTTTCTAAAGCAACTTCTCATTTGTAGTTTTCACACACAAGTATCATGCGACAAAGTTGGAGGCTGGGACTGCAAACTTGGCCTGTCTGATTGCTTGGCCCACCAGGGCCCTCCAGAAAAATGAGCTGTTTATCTCATGAGGATAACCCAGTGAGTCAGGTTTTAAATTAATACTGTATTAAAAATAAACAAGTCTTTTACTGGTGACAGCAGGGGCAGAGGATGTTCGGTACTTCCTGTGCTACCAACTATTGAATATTCCTGCATTCAGTTGCAGACAGAGGTTTTTCACTTATTTTTTTCTTTTTTATAACAGATGCTTAAAGGCAAAAGTGCATGATAGATAGCAGTTTGATTTGTAATGGTCTGTTCTCTTTCCATCCTGTGCTGGCAATCATACTTACTGTTCTAAGAGCAGTGACAAAAAGAGATTAGGAACCCCCAAAGGGAGATCCTCAGTTTCATGTTAAATCTTGGTGTAAAATGTGTAGTCACTGTACTAAGAAAAAATGAGTCGTCTGTGTGATTTCTCATAGATTTACTTCTCCATAATCTTAAATAGTTTCAACAGATTTGTGTGAGCCCCTTACTCTCAAACACGAATGAAAAAGGCACCCTCAGGCCACTTTGGAAACTTACAGGAAGCTCATGGGAATACCTTCCTGTTAATCCCTTCAGTTGCTGGAGATAGTAAGAAACAAAAAGATATTTACCTTCTGTTGCTGGTAAACATTTGTGAGAGGAGCAACCTGACAGTCTTTGTGGGCACCAAAGACTTTGCACAAGGAGCAGGTGGGTATTTCACAGTTCAAACAATAGATATTGATTCTCTCATCTTCATGCTCTTCACACATTGGCAGGTCACACTTTTTTTCAGGCCTGCAAAAGAGAGTAAGTTTAAAACCTAACTTGGTTTCATAAGTTTCTGATGATAATACTGAGGGTATCAACATGACGTAGGGTACAATCACACAGCAGTCTGAGGCTGAGCTGAATACTTGTGGTATATTTAAACCTGTCACAAAGGATGACTAAATAGACAGAGGTACCATTTAAGATGCTGACATGATAGGATGTGAGAAGAATATAGTAATGTGACTTCATATTGCGATCTGAAATGGGAGTGTGACTGAGTTCTCACTCATATTTAAAGAAGTAAATAACCTCACAAAGATTAGTCTTAGACTACCTATGTACTTTAGTCAGTATGTTGCCCATCATTTGCCTGAAATAGTAAACATACGTAATTCCTTTAGGATTCATCATGCAAAATATTGGGTACTTGGCCTTGAATCAGTGAAGCTGCTATGTGGGGAGCTAAATTGAAATAGGTGTCAATGGGCCTTTGTGTACCATCTATGATTTATGCTAACAATCCTTCTGAAGTCCACATCAGGTCTGCCAATATCAAATGGGACGGAGTCCCTGCAGCCTTTACACCATGCCAGCAATCAAAATAAGGTCTCACACAAACTAATTTTAGCTGCGCAGGATGCGTCTAGCTGTTTGGACTTGGTGATCCCCAAGGTCTTTTCCAGCTCAGAAGGCTCTGTGACTCTATATCCTGTATACTGTTGAGCTTTTTAGCAGTAGCTATTTTGATTGTACCAGCCACCATGGTTGTGGGTTAAGCAAAGAGTGTGTGCCCCCACCTATGCTAAGCCAAGAGCCATCACTAGACTCACTGCCTCAGTTCCAATCTTCTCTTCACCAAAATGATGCAGCCATGTACAACTAGTCAATCCCTGCCATTACAGGAACCAACTTAGTTGTAACTTCCTTTAATAAGCTACTTAACTGACATGCCCAGTGTAAGAGAAAGCTCTGTCCCAGTCTGTATGGGCAGGCTGATGCTTTTCTAAGCCTGTGCACGTAAGTGTGTGGCAGTGTGGTACTGGATGGGAGTAGCAGAATGATGGAGGGAGTGTGCCTGGGGGTTCAAACCTCCAAAGGTTGCAGCTTCTACTGTGGCAGAAATCTTTCCAGTATTATTCATTATAACCTAATGCCTGGATGGAGAACTATGACTCACCTGTAGCAAGTGGAGCAATGACAACATAGAAATATGTCATCATCCGTGGTCAGAAATACTTCCAGAAACTACAGAATTTAATGGCATTCTAAATTGAAGCTTTTTCCCGTGTTTTTTAGACCATTTTTGCAAGGAGGCAACCTGTCATTCATTCTACTGAAATTATTTAGATTATGATACATTAGAGTTTTTCATACAACTTGGTAGAGAGGACATGGAACTTATTTTTTAATAACAAAGTACAGGTTTTCTCTTCTTAAGAAAAAATTGAATGGAATGTGATCAATTAAATGAGTGTAAAAAAAAATCAAGCAATAAAGAAAGTGTCTCATACCTTTTTTTTTAATTTCAAGAGGGCACTGGGATTGAAAGGATTTCTAGGAAGAACCTGTGATCTTCAGTATAATACAATTTACAAAAATAAAATGAGAAGGAATTTTCCAAAAGAAATTTGCATTATTTGGGACAGATTTTCAGCACGTTTACATAAGGCCCTTAGTGTGTCAAATCAAGCACCATTTCAACCCTAGTCAAAAAAGGTGTATCTCTGCTGTAAAGTATGCTTCAGGTTGTTTGCAAATGACTGCAAAAACCCCATAAAATATCCAGGTTGCTGTGCACCAGTGAGAGGGCCCACATGTTAGAGTAATAAAAGACAATATCAGTGCGATTAATTAAGCCTGAAATAGCTGTTCTTCCTGAAAATGTTTACAAGGCCAGAAATGACTAGAATGTTATTTGACACTGGAGTCCTACCAGTTGCACGAAAGACAGACACATAGCACAGGGCAATGGTGTCAAGCAAGTCTGGCCAGAAGTAGCCAGCCTTCAAAGGTACCGCGAGGAGCTGGAAGAAACCTGGCAGAACTCTCTGAACCCACCAGGCCCTGAAGGCAGTGACAGAAGCCTAGAAGTAAACACATTTACAGCCTGCTTCTGAGGCTTTGCAAAAGGAGGGATGTTTTCAGAGGAGATCTGCTATGTATAGTATATGTCAGTGTAGCAACAGCTGAAATGCAGCTCCTAAGTGTAAAACAGCGGTTGCTTATGAAATGGAAGATTAAAAAGTAGACAGTAGGAAAATGACACATAGCTTTTCTTGAAGAATAGATTCATCATAGATGTGGTTGTGACCACAATTAGCAGGTAGCTGTAACAGCCTAATAGCTTTATGTTCTTGTTCTCTGGCTCTGCTCTTTGAGATGCTAAGTCTGTGTTTGAGTAACACAGACTTATTCTTTCCCATTAAAACTGGATTTGAACCTTAATGGGCAGGTGTTGTGCTTTTTCTATGGAGAGGAGGCTTCTCAGCACTGGAGAGGCCACACTTGGAGCAGTGTCCAGTTCCGGGCTACACACTACAAGAGAGAGTCCAACAAAGGGCCGTGAAGATGAGGAAGGGACTGGAGCACCTTTCTTGTAAGGAGAGGCTGAGACATCTGGGATTGCTCAGGCTGGAGATAAGGATCTCATCAATATCTACAGATACCTGAAGGGAGGATGCAAAGAGGATGGAGACAGGCTCTGTGCAGTGATACCCTGGATGTGGGCCTGGGTAATCTGCTCTGGGTGTCCCTGCTTTAGCAGTGGTTAGGCCAGATGGAGCCAGAGGTGCCCTCCAATCTCTATCATTCTGTGATTCTATAATTTGGTGAAGAATTTGAAAGCTACTGGGGTCACAAAGGAGTGCATTCTAATTAAAGATATAGTAAGACCTCAGCAAAACTGACATTAATAAATTGATATGTAGAAGTGGATTTATGCAGATTTACATCCAGAGTGACATTTATGACCTCATATTCGCATTCCTTTCTCACTTAAAAGTAAATTCAGCTGAGCTTGACAGCGAAGCTGCCTATCTTGGATAAAAAATGCTATTGTATTTATTAACCTATTCACCAAGTCAGGCCTAAATGGCACAGACTTAAAACAATTCCACTCCCATTGCATACATCTCCTAGCATCCTGGGCACTTCCCTTTGTTGAACTAAATGAAACTCCTGCTGTCCCATGTCTCTAACCATTTATCCTTCTGATAGGAAGAGCAGCCACTTAGTGTGCCAGCCACTCCTCACAGTTCTGTATCACCTGCAGATTTGCTAGTGGTAATCTCCTGCCCAATTGTCCAGGTCATTAATGACAGTATTAAACTGCACTGGCGCCAGTATCAACCTCTAGCTACAACTGGTCTCCACCTGACTTTGTGCTGCTCCTCATAACCTGCTGGTTTGGCAATTCAGCCAGTTTTCAGTCCACCTCACTGTCCGCTGTCCACTCTAGACATTATTTCATCAATTTGTCAATAAGGACATTATGAGAGACAGTGTTGAAAATCTAAATAAACCACACCCACTGTTCTCTTGTTCACTGAGTTTGTCATCTCTTTGCAAACGGATGCTGGGTTGATCAGGCACTTTGAATTGCACTTTGCAAATCCACACTGACTACTTCTGATCACCTTCTTATCTTTTAGATTCTGAAAATGCATTCCAGGAGAGATTGCTCCAACATCTTTCTAGACGTTGGTGTAAAGCTGATCAGACTGTAACTCCCTGGATTCTGCTCCCCATGCTTCTTGAAGATTGGAGTGACATACATACGCACCACTACTGTGAATTCCTACCCAAGCAAAGCACTGGTGAAGTTGAGGAGGAGCTCTTCCCATGGGGGCTTGGAGAAGATCCGGGTTATCTCTATACTAATCTCTTTTGCTGTGAAATCTGTGGGGCTTCTCCTGCAGCATCCTTGCATTGTGACTGACCCTCCCTCGTGCACAGACCTGTCCATCTCCCAGGTCCAGCCTACCTGAAAGCCCATGTATTCCCACAGCTCATACTGGACAGCCACAGCCTCCGTTGGGAGCTTGAGATGAGGCCTCTGAGGTGTCAGCTCCTGGTGGTGCTGGGCACACTGCCTTGCTGTGGATCCCCAGTGCTACAGAGCCCACACACTCTGTTCTCTCCATGGCTCCTGGCCCCTGCTGTGCTGCAACTGCTGCTCCACCTGTGCACAGCAGCGCCAGCCTTCAACTAGTACTGTCCCTTGTAGGTGCAAGGGAGGAGCACACTACAAACCCTGGAGGTGGATCCAGCGGACACAGAGACCCCAGCACCCTTTAGGAATATCTGGCTGAGCTCATTAGAGACTGTGAGGAGCTGCAGCCTCCTGTTGCTACCCTTACCTGGCAGCAACAGGCCCCCTGAAGCTCCTCAGAAAGTTCAGGTATTCAGTGGCCTATAGACTTTCAAACACTGGAGTAATATTTTAGTTAACTTTATTTCTGTTGGGTTCAGCACTTTGCTTTCCTTTAAAGCTTTGCAGGAGTCACATCCTGCTTGAACATTTTTCCCCTTGTCTTGCTAATAGATACTAAATCGGGCAACAGGTTATGCTGTCATCGGCTGGAGTCTGATGTGCAGTATGATAAAAGACAAAAAAGTGATGTAACTTTTTGTAATAAGAGCGGCTTCCTGAGAGAGCTTTGGTAGAGCCTCCCCATCTGATGGCACAACTCCTCCCTCAGCTTTTATTTTTGGAAGAAAAATGCTTTAATTCATACAGAAACTAAAATTAGGACAAAAAAATATATATTTTTTTTTGAGATAAATTATTTTTGCCTAAGCAGGAGACAAAGCTTGCTCCTTATTTGGATTTCAACCCTTCTCCTCAACTCATGCAAAAGCTGGGAACTGGCACTGTTCTGGCATGTACAGTTGTTATGGTGAATTATACCAGCAGGAATATCTTGGGGAAGAATTTCCTTTTCTGGAAGTTACAGGAGCTGCCAGTCTGAAGGGCTGTCTTGGACAGAAACAAAGGTGACACCTCTTCCTATGTACCTCTGCCAGAACCAGCCATCAGACTGAGGAACTGATACAAAAGGAAGAGAAGATCCAATTTCCTCTAACTTTTTTGTTTTACTGGGACAACACAGGGCAAAGCAGTGGCAGATCTTGCTCACACAACCAATGGGAGCCTGAGGAATTTTAGGCAGAGGGAGATAAGCAGCTGAAGCCTACAAAGTGCTAAATAGTTTAGATAATGCTGTTATGCATTGTTGCTGCTATGTAACCCTGATAATTATTTTAATTCTGAGGACATTCATGAAGGTTAAATAAACACCTGAAAAGATTAAGCAAACAGGGGCACCAGACAGGTATCTATGCAAATACATCATTCGTGATTATATTTTTTCCTATTCTCCCCTCTTATTCATGATGTTGTATTTTTGTTCTCTTCAATTGCTTGAAAGGAGGTTGTGGCAAGGTGGGGGTTAGCTTCTTTTTCCATGTAACAGCAATAAGACAAGAGGTAATGGCCTTCAGTTATGCCAGGGTAGGTTCAGGTTGGGTATTAGGACAAAATTCCTCTCAGAGTGTGATGAGGCACTGGAACAGGCTGCCTGGAGAGGCGGTGGAGTCACTGTCCCAGGACGTGTTCAAGAAATGTGTAGATGTGTCATTAAGTAACATGGTTTAGTGGTCATGGTGGTTATGGTTTGATGGTTGGACCAGGTGATCTTAGTGGTCATTCTCTGATTTCGTTTTAGAAGAATTTTCAGAAATCTACTAAATCCCTTATATTTCCATTTAACTGAAATTGGTTCTGTTTGCCCATGAAATACGTAGGAACACTGAGCTGAAGTTTTCATATTTTTTTTTAAGTTTAATACAACCCTTGAGTTGGAAAAAGAAATATAAGACATGAGGCCATAAGTGTCCAGCTTATTTGGTTGAGTGCAAAACCCACCACTCTGCTGATTCATTTCCTCAGATATTTTCCTGACTCAAATAATACTTGGATATCAATGACACACATGAGCATAGATGACCTTCCCTGGCCATGGAGTGCTAAGGGCAGCATAAAGAAAAATTTTAAGCCAACTTCATGCTCTCCAATGTTTTGGAGCTCAAATCCATGTGCAGCTACAACTGTTCAGCGAGGACTCAAACAGCCAAACAACAAACAGTGCTCCAAAACAACCTCTGTGCTGGAGGAAGGTAGAAGTGCCCTAAGCCACCCAAGGAGCTGGGTCCACTGCTTGAGTCTACCTGCTTCACCTCTGTGATATCACCTCTGCTATCCCTGCAAAGCCCAGCTGCTTGTGGGAGGAGGCCAGGATTATACCTTCCTTCAGGTGTACAAATACCCTGCCTTACAAACCTGGCCCTACAAGTGCATACTGGTGACAACAGCCTGCATCACTGGGTGAGAGCTGCTTGCTTAGTGGCCTGGGACCAGCCTTCACCTTCTTCCTATTATGTTCCCCAGTGTGGTAGCCTGTGCCCAATCCAGCATAGGGAAAGACAGATGAGATGTTGTTCTACTGCTGGATTCCTAACGTATCCATTAGAGGCACTTAACATTTGGAGAATTTTTAGGATTAACCTGTTCCTCTGCCCTGGGATTCTAATACATAACCATAGCTCTGATATATAATATTTCTAGCTGTTCTTTCACTTCTACGGAATCCTAAATAAGACTCGATTTCATGTGTTCCTGTTCCTAGCTGACAGAAGTTGAAATTTTTTATTGTGTTTTAATGTAATGTTATGATCCAGGGTATTTTCTGGGTGCAATTCAGCTATCTCCTTGTGTATTCCTTAGGATTTTCTAATATGGTTTGAAATCCAATTCCTTTAGCATGTGAACACACGGGTTAAAGAGAAATATGTTTGTTTGAATAGCTTATAAAATAAACAACATGAATCTAGCTACTTTTCCCTCATTTATGAGAATACCTTTGTTGACTACGGGTAAGTACTGATCAAGGGAATGAAAATGACAGTTGTCTTCTGTAAGTGGAAACAGGGAAATCCAGCATCTATCTGGATACTGCTTTCGGAGCTGACTTCACTGCACAGCAAGCAAGCAGGCATGCACAGCAACACAACCCCTTTCTGTATTTCTAAGAGAGAAATTAACAAATAAACCTCCTGTCTGACAAACAGAAAGACCAGAAGGACACCACAGCAACCCCAGTGGTGTCTGCTTTTGTGGCAGATCTCCCATGAAGAGTACAAGTTCCCTTGTTACCTTGTGGACTCCTGCTTGTATATATCAATGATGTTCTCCACCAGCAGGTTCCTCTGCAGCCCGTACACTCCGTGGCGGTCAAGGACCACTTCATGCCTGCAGGAAGGACAGCGAAACCGGCCTCCCGAAGCCACGGTTGTGCCTCCCCTGGTGGGCAGGTAGGGGTTCGAGGCCTGTTCTTGCCAAGCAGCACAAGAAGAGGTGAGTAAGGCCATGTGCAGCTTTACCAAAATGTATTTTGACAAGGCATCGTTTTTGGCGCATGACAGACCAAAATCTGATGAAATTAGGGCACATCTTTCTTCCCTCTTCTGCCCTACCAGCCCAAGGAACTCTGAGTCAAACCATTCAAAGCAAATATCTAAAGGTCTACTGGGAGAAACTGCTGAAGCCATTTGGATGAGGCTCACAGTGCTGCAGTGATCTGTGCTAGAGATAATGCAGCTCCTTCAAGAGCACCAGGGCAGCCCCCCCAGCCTCAACATCTACAAAAAGCAATCAACTGAGCCGGGCGATACTCGGCTTTTCCATTCATTCAACTGAGTGCTGCCCAAATCTTCAGAGCTTTCCATGGGAATGGACCTACCTGGAAAATATCACTGGCACATTTCCTGCACAGGTTATGCTGGCAGGGCAGGATGACCACCGGCTTGGTGAACATCTCCAAACAGATGGGGCAGATCAGCTGCTTCTCCAGGTTATCCATGGTCTGTTGCTCTTTGGAGAAGGACTTGTAGCCCAGAGAAGTGCTCATCCCTAGCTTTTCCAGGGGCATATGCTCAGGATCACGGCGTCCCTGCTCAGTTTCTGTGTGAATTTTCCTTGAAATAAATCCAAGGCTCCGGTGCGATCAGAGGCACTCTGGGCTTCGCTCACTGGAGGACATTGTTTGAAGGCGCCGGAGGGAGCCGGGGCTGTTTTTAGCAGCACGGCGTCACGAGATGCCATTCTGCCGTGCCCATATAAGCTATGAGAGGAGGATAGGCTGGGACAGGTGACAGCTCCAGGGGCTGGGGGGGCAGTGGTAGAGCCCTGGCTCTCCTCACTCACACATGGTGGCCTTCACCCCTGGGAGCAGCCGAGTGATAAGCCCATCTGAGCAGCCCTTATCTTCACAGGACCAAAGCATGCTTGCTGCCCAGACTGATAGCCACTACTCCTGCGTTATATAGTCATCGTTCTGAGCACAGAGCTGAGGCTGCAGTGAGCAATCTGCTGTGCTGCTCCTGTTTCAGCAGGCTCCAGGAGTTGGCCCTTCCAAGGCATGGAGCACGTGAAGTTTCTGGAGAATACAACAGGAGAGATGGCTGCTCTCGGGCTCAGATCCTTCAAGGTGTAAGCATGTCACTGCCTTACAAACCAGCTGAAAGCACTGCCTACCAAGAGCTGCACTTAACTTTCTTCCAGTATGATTTTTTTAGGAACCAAGAATTTAACGTGACTGTTCAATCTAGTAGCTTAAATATGTCCCAAAAACACTATCTGAATTTTCTAATGAGAAAGAGACAGAAGAATTACAGTATGAAAAGCTTTAATTTGTACTTCTAGAGAATAAGTACTAATTGTACACACTCTCTCTCTCTGCGTAGTGTAATTCAAATGCATTTTGGTTTTGGGCACTGCTGTTTGTGTCTGTTTATTAGACACCAGTATCCCTCTCAGCTTGGCATTTGTTCTAGAGTTATTTTTAAAATGACAATTTCCCAGATAATCTGTGGCATGTGATGCCTGATCTTAAGGGAAAGCCATCTGTGCTTCCACTTGCCAATAATTTTATCGCACAACTGTACGAGTAATAAATATCTCATCCTCAGTTTAAGCCAGAGTCCCCGCATGTACTGTATAAAATCACTTTGCCACTGTACTGCACATGCAATCAGTATATTGTCTGCTATCTTAATCAATAACTTCTCCACTAAGGATCTTCCAGAAAGCTCTTGTGTTTATGTAAACTTTTAACCTAGAAGTGCTTGGCTATGACATGCCTTATACAGTGGCTGAATGAATCTCCTGTGTGTCCTGGGCAGACCTCATTTCTCTCTATCTGTATGCAATACCAGTCTGCACACCGTGCAGTTCAGGGAGATATAAAAGTGAAGGTTTTCATTGATTTCCACGTGAAAAATGAGTAATATTCTCTGCATGCAGTGACAACAGATCACATTAAAATCAGTGTATTACCGACTAGCTTTTATCTTCAGTGCCTTGCACGCTTTAAGCATTTGGGTTAAATTCTGTGCCCACTTGCAGCCCACCAAGCCAGAATTTCACCTACACCTATAAATTTGTCAGCAGCCCCATAAAAACAACTAACTTTTTCTGAAGTCCTGCTCTGATGAGAAATTTGTAAGTTTAGTTACCCTGGTCTGAAGTCACACCTTTGCTCCAGCTCCCCAGTGCAGGCAAGATCTCAGGAGCTGAAAGGGGAAAGCTGTTCCAGCAGCTGAGCAGCAGACAGCTGGGGCTTTTGGCAGGATTGGCAGGGTCAGTCTTGGCAGCAACAAGAGGATAGTTCTCCCGTGGTCAGGTCAGAGGTGACTGGTGTCTGGAGGAATCTGAAGGCCTCATGCTGATCCTCCTGTCCCTGTATCAGCTGCCCCTTGCACATCAAAACCCGCATAAATAAGGAGCTTTGTGTTGGGTGAGGAAAGCTTTCTCTGCATGGTGAGGCAGATGCTTCCAGCCTGTGGCACAGGCAGAAACAGCAAAACTCTGCAAAGAAAAGCTGAGGGCTAGATATGCCGCTGTGTAGAGATAGTTGCATACAGCGTACAGCGATGCAGGAAAACCCATGGACACTTGGGTCAGTGAACAAAGGCACTTCTTAAGGTGCACTGTGTGCCTGGGATGTAATTCTGAGAAAATTATGCTAACCTGTGATAACTCACTAACGTCTTCTCTTAACTGGTTCTGTTAACTGGTTGTCTGATGCATCTGTGGAGTATGTCTGCTGGCATCTGCACCCACCAGCCCTCATGGCTCTCTGCACCAAGCCAATCTATTTCTCAGTAGAACAAAATGGGACTAGAGGATTTGCCTTAGCTCCACTCATGCACAAAGACCCTGGATGTCTGCCAGCCATCACCAAGAAGGTTGCCAGGATATTTCTTTTGTCGTATCTTTTTGCAGCATAGCTTGCCTGGGAGTGTCTCCTGGCCTTGCTGACACAACCAGAAACTAGCTCCTAGAGTTATGCTTGCTTTTCTAGGCATTGTTTCCAACTCCTCTATTTTTGTAGTGTATCACAGCTTGTGGGCTGTGGACTGAAGGCCAGGAGAGCCTGGAAGGCTGACTGCAAAGTAGGGGGGTTAGGAGAGGAATTTGAAGGAGGAAGGAGAGCTTGAGTGATGTCCAGATTCAAGTTTCAATGCCGTAATGACATCCCTGGGTTTTACATTCATAGAATTTCCCTTTGAGACCTCTTATCCTGTACCAGCGTCATCAAGTTCTCATCTGTCAGTCATAGAAAATCTGTCCTCTGTCTCTTATGTGCCCAGAAAACAAAGGGAAAAGTGTATTTTCACCAGAAGGCATCTCTTGCATGGCTTATCTTGCCATAAAGCTCAGCAAGGACAAGGCTCGCGCTGCAAGCATCAGACTCCTTGCCCAGGCAAGAACAAGACTGCATCTCTGGCCCCACCAACTGCTGCATGGGGAGAACCCCAGACCCACCTTCCTGTGTCTCCCGCAAAACAGCCATTTGAGAAGTCCTGGTTGCCCCCACAATGTAATGTCCTAACAAAAAGTGATGAGGTGGCTGTCTCCATCTCTGCCACCTGAACATGAGATTTAGATTAAAATGACAATGCAATGCCTCTTCCTCCCCGGTTATACTAACTCTGCCTGTTTTGACTACAAATATTTGTATTTTTAGCCAGATATTCTAAGGGGGTAGAGGAATATCCTATCTCCCCTCCATCCACCCCACCTCCTACCCATAGAAGCACCAACTGCAAATGGTATCTTGTCTTTCATGATTTTACTGCTATCATTGAACATCCCATAACAAATACCAAACCTACACTTTGATATATCAGACCTGATGCCTCAAAAGAAAGCCTCTGCAACAGAGACAAGAGATTTCAAAAGCAGTTACCTTCTGATATCTTACCATACATCTTAGCATACAACTTATGCATCATTTTTCACGACGATAGGCAATGTGCCCATGTGCAATATGATTTTCTAGAAACAACTGGGTGATGGTTGCACACCTCCAGGGGACTACCACAGGAGGTAATGACACCTTCCAAAACAACCCTCTGCACACAGGGAATCATCTTCTCTGTAATTTTCTGTATTCTCAAAGCTTTCAAAATGAGTGAGTCTGAAAAGATAGCTGCCTATGCAGTGGAGTAACAAACATAACATTACTGTTCAGCTGCTCTCTCTCTCATACATAACTTTGCAAGCCCAAAGGTCCCCAATCCTCATCCTCTTTTGTGTACCTCAGACCCTCGACACACTACTGTTACAAAGAGGTCTGAACTTCACATGCAAGGCATAAAATCATGTTCAAACTACTGTGTGGGGCAGAAAGTGCCCTACATGACCATCCATCTAAAAATAGGCTCTCTCCAGGGCTATGGACAAGTTTCACAGATAACAAACTTGGTTTTCCACACACTGAAATATGTGCTGCAGAAACATGCCCAGAGACACGAATGAAAAGGCTATAAATAAAATGAAACCAGTTAGGAAATGGGAGAATGCAATCCTGCTTCCTCTTGGAGACACAGTAACCAAATGCTTTAGACTTTTAGCACTTTTACAGCCCTTTCCCCTCTCCTTGGCTATAACAGCACTGCATCTCATAGGAGTCTGTAGATCATCACTAAATATCTCCCCTATTAACAGAGGGGAAGGCATGACTGGCTCCTCCCCAGGTTGTTCTTGCATTTCACGGAATAACATAGGAATTGAGCACTGGGTTAATGAAGGATGAGCTAGTGCAGTGATAGTGGGGTAATCCATCTAGCCCAGACACAACAGTAGTTGGGGACCTCCCAAGCCTGCCACAATGTAAGGAAAAATAATTGCAGAGTTTCAGCATTAGGAATTTTGACCAGAGGACAGATTTCATTTCTACTTTGTCCATAACAGCCCATAGCTCTGTTGTTAGGAAATGACAACAATGGTCAATGGGGAAGTGATTTGTGTTCTGCAGCACAGATCCAGCTCCGGCTTCCCAGCTGGTGTCAGCTCATCACTTCACACAGATACAAGCCTGGCCAGAGTCACATTTCTCCCCAGCCCTTGTCCACTCAACATCAGCCTTTCACAGGCTATTTCAGTCTGCTGCCTCCAAGCTCATCTGGCGGAGCAGAGGAGTACGAGTGTTTTTTCTCCAGGACAATCCTGAGGTCTGCCAATTCAAAGGAAAGGCTGTTTTTAAGGTTATTCTCAGCATATGACTTCACACCATGTCAAAGACCTGCTTAGACTCTGTCCCAGGTCCTTTGACTTGTTTACATGTTTTCATCCCTCCTCGTCCTGAGGGTCATTCCTCCAGGACAGAGTAAAGCTGGGAGATAAAGGATCGAGGTTTATGCTATTACAGTTAAACAGAAATATGTGGTGTGGAAGCAGGAAGGTTTTCAGACAGCAAGGCATCACCAGACATAGTGGAGCACCTGATTAGCACATGGACTGTGAGAGAGGTAGTACCTCTGTCCGTTAGTCTTTTTTTTCTGCTGTATTTCAATTTTATCTCTGTTTTCCTTTCATGTCTTCCTCTGCCCTGCAAATGCTCTTCAGATGTACAGCAAAACCAGCATGACTATTCATTTCTGAATGCTGATGCCTTTTTTCTTTGAAAATCAGCTTAGAAGAGCAAGTTCCTCTTTTGGACATTTAGCAACCAAATTCTTTCCCTCACTCCCTCACATGTGTTTCATGTGAGCATGGAAG